TTTTTTTTTTTTTTTTTTTTACAAAAAATGCACTGGATAAGATGCTAGTAATAGTGGAACAGACCTAAGCTGGCTCAGGTAACAAAGATTGTATTTTTCAGTTACAATCAAAATGTCAAAAGATACAAGATTTGCTTAATAATTCAAGAAACCAGATAAGCTTGAATTTTAGAGGAACTATGTAATATTTTAAAATAATTTGTAATTATGTCTGTATTAAAGATTTGCAATGCAGTGTTTGTGCACAGATAGTATATTTTACCTGGTATTTTGGAAAAATGGTAATCAACCACTGTGCGGCAAAATCTGTCTGTTCTTAAATATAATCTAGATACAAAGTAGAAATAGTCTAGAGGAAATGCTCCATGATAAGATACGATAAGCCCTGGTCCTTCTGGTATTTTATCCATCCCATGTATCTCATAACCTGTTTAAAGGATAAAATATATGCGTTTCAGTATTGCTTTAATACAATCAAAAGTTTAATAAGCATTGGTTAGCTCTATTTTTTATTTTTTGCAAATTTCTATTCCAGCCATTCAAATTATTCTGGGAAATATATATTTTTGAATATCAATTCATTACACAGAATCATGTAGATTCGGGTGTTAATAATTATTGTTAATAAATAATTAGGTAGCACATTTCAGATTCCCATAGAAATCAACCAAACATTAAAATAAAACAACAGCAAAACATAATACACAATAGCTACCCCATGATCATTTGGTTATGTGCCAAATGTTCATTTCAAAAGAAGTGTTTATAAGTTAGAACACCATAAGCAAATATTCCCATATTTGGAATAGCGGTAACAGTATAAAAGGGGAAAAAATGACTTTGAATTAAGTTGGTGCCAATCCACAAAGTAGTTTGTTATTACTTATTAGCGTCTCCTTAAGTCAAATGCATTGTTTCCTGGATCTGCACATTATCTGTGAGCACAGGAAAAGATGCACCTTCTCTGAGGAAACTTTAACTGTTATGCATGCCTCTTCCAAAACTTCTGGTTTCAGATATGAAGCAATGCAGTCTCTTGAACTCTTTTAGAAATATATACACTTGTATATAGCCTTCAGTAAATCATTAACTGAGTTCACTTTTTTTCAGGCCAAAGACAGCATTGGCCTTTAAAACACTTGCCAAGGATCTGGACAATGAAGAGGTCTTACCCAAAACAAAACCTAAATTTTATATTAACTACACATCTTAGAAAGAAAAGAAAGGAGTTTCAGTTGTTTCTATGCAGCACTCTCCACTAAGAATAAGAAAAGTACTGATCAGTTTTAGCACATAGTGGTATGAGTCAACCAAAACAATTTTACCCCAAGCATGTTCATGCTACTTTAACAAGATAGGGCTTCTAATCTTTTTTTTTTTTGCAAGCCACCATCCTATTGCTTGCATTCTTCCAATAAGTTACATGCAGTGCAATTTTTATTATTTCTTAATACTTTCTTTTGCTCTGCAAAATAACATTTATCACCAAGAGGTTTACATTAGTTAGATATTCTACATTAAATCCCCACACATTAAACAATGCAACTTGATGACATTTATGGAGGGTTCTGAAGATCACATGATTGCTGCATATTCTCCTCCTGTGCCATTTAAGGAATACTATAAACCACTGTGGTATTGTCAACAAAGCCATCAATGTGCAGATCAAGGAGGAGATTAAACTTACCATGCCACACTGTACCATACATGTCCCAAAGGTGAGCCACAGCCCTCCGTCCATTGTCCCATGACTGACTGAGATAATCTTCCTTTAAATTAACCTTTCTCTTGTAAATATGCAAGAGAAAATTAGAAAGATAAATAAAACCAAGAATTATTACAACAGGGGAAAAAAGGAGTAGGAATAGTACTGACATCCAGAAAAAGTATGCTGAGTAGTCCGTGAAACTGTTTATGATATTATTTGGAGAAATATTGATACTGTTCAGTAGTTCCATGACCCAGGTCAGATTGCCTTGCCCAACAGAAAATGAATTCATATTAGTTCTCTTCTGTTTAAAACTAAAAAACAATGTGCTGGAAAAACAGCTTCTTAACATTGGCCCTGGATGCAGACAATTGTTAAGTAGCTATCATTATTGCAATAGGAATCAACCTATTTCAATATTGTCCACATTCAACAATTTAGTCAAGGGAGACCACTAACTGCAAAAAAAAAAAAAGGTATATTTAACTCAGAAGCAGGTCATGCTGTGTGCCTTTCAGATGTATAAACTCCCATAATCCTCAACCAGGATGCCCTTTCATTCTAGGCAGAAACTCGTTCAAGGCAATTTTGACAGATAAAAATCATAGGCATATAACATAAATAAGACCTGCAAGACTCCACAGATTGAAAGTTTCTGGCAGGAACTGGAAACAGAGAAATGAAAGACTTGAGAGGAAGAGACGGAAGAGGGCTTCTTTAAAAGCTGCAATGATGGAGTCTGTCAGCCTTTTCCGAAGCCCTTTTTTCCTGATGAAACTAATTCATCGGATCTCAAAGAGGCCAAGCGCCAGTGGGGGAGCGTTCCCTGGGCCTTTGCACTTATCAAGAGCTGCTTCTCCATTCCCAGGGAGAGGCGTCATTTATCCATTGGTTCTGACCGCAGCGTTTCGGCTCTTCAACCCTCAGGCTCTCCCTGCTACCAGCGGTGCTTCTCCCTCGCCTTTAAAGATGCCGGCCGAGCAACCTTTGCGAACCGCGCCCTCGCTCGGGATCACTTGAATCTCGGCGCTCCATCCAAGGACTCTAAGCACAGCATCAGGGCGGTCCTGACAGCATTCCGGGCGCGAACGAATCTGGGTGACAGGAATGGCCCCGGACCGGCTCGACCCAAAGGTGTTCGATGGAAAAGCAAGCGGGGAAATCGCGCAGAAACCTGCAACACCGAGAAGCCGCAATGCAGTATGAAGTTGCGCATCGTGTAGATGCAAAAGGAGGAGGAGACCTTCGGCACCGTCTTTCTTTTCAGGACTACGAAACGCATCCGAAACTGCGGAGAAGGATTTGGCTTTTTCTTGGCTTTTTTCTGGGCTGGACCATTTCAGCTCTGAGGCGCTGCAGATACACGTCTTGAAATTCAGAAATATAATCAAAAGAGTCGTCATTCTGTTTTGTTTTGTTTTGAATTTAAAAAGATTATCTGTAGAGATATGGAGATTTTCAGCGGGAAAGCAGAGAAAAATAAAACCCCTATATACAATATGTTGTGGTATGTTCCATCTGATGTCTGAGCCCCTCGTGAAAAATCTGCTAGCCTGGTCAAAGGATTTAAATCGTCTTAATTTGGAAGCGATTTGCTAAGGTTGAGAAACACTGAGCTATAAGATGTTTCATCCCCAAAATGGGCTTTTTAAGTAACGTGTGAATGGTGAAATGTTCCATGATGCATTTGTTGTTGTTGTTTAGTTGTGTCTGACCCATTGCGACCCCATGGACAACGTTCCTCCAGGTCTTCCTGTCCTCTACCATCTTCTGGAGTCCATTTAAGTTCACACCTACTGCTTCAGTGACTCCATCCAGCCACCTCATTCTCTGTCGTCCCATTCTTCTATTGCCCTCGATCTTTCCCAGCATTAGGCCCTTCTCCAGTGAGTCCTTCCTTCTCATTAGGTGACCAAAGTATTTGAGCTTCAACTTCAGGATCTGGTCTTCTAAAGAGCAGTCGGGGTTGATCTCTTCTAGGACTGACTGGTTTGAACGCCTTGCAGTCCAAGGGACTCGCAGGAGTCTTCTCCAGCACCATAGTTCAAAGGCCTCAATTCTTTGTCGCTCAGCCTTTCTTATGGTCCAACTTTCACATCCATACATTGCAACTGGGAAAACCATGGCCTTGACTATATGCACTTTTGTTGGCAGGGTGATGTCTCTGCTTTTTAGTATGCTGTCTAGATTTGCCATAGCTTTCCTCCCCAGGAGCAAGCGTCTTTTAATTTCTTGGCTGCAGTACCCATCTGAGGATTACATTACATTACATAACAGATCCCTTAATACAGAACATTTGTATCTTTTGGCATGCACTTAAAAATAGCTTGGGTTGTGCTACTAAATGTTGCATATTTCATACAAGAACTGACACAGAAGTAGCCCAGTAGTATGCTTATTTAATCCATCCTGTCTGATATCTATGTAATTGAATAACACACTTATTAGTTCCTGTGTTCAATGGGCTAGTGAAAGATAATGAAGTGGTAATGGATAATGGATTTTACTCCTTTTGCTTCCCCTCCTCCTTCCCTCCTTCTCTCCTCTCTAAGTCTCTCTCCACAGTAAATAAAATAGGGGAGTTATGTATACATACAGTACATTAAATTGTGTCTTAATTGTAGCAGGACACTTTAAAATTAATAGAGGCCAAAGAACCTTTATTGATCTACAAGTAAAAGAATTGTATTTATTTCAAATACTTATACACTGTGCATCATGGAATGCAGTCCCAGCTCTGTTCAAAATGTAAACTGCATTGAATACAAAAATACCCTCGGATTAAAAACACATCAAATACATAACTAAACAAGGTTATAACACAATAGTCTTGGCTATTTCTAACAGGCTACTCAATTAGTTCTGAAATCTAATTAGTCCATGAATCAGAAACTCCCTCAGAATGAATTTGATTGCAATGACAATGAATGCCTCCATTGAAAAACCTGAAGGGCCAGACTGGGGACAACTCTCTATCTCAAGCATATCAAACTGCCGGCCTGCGCCAGATACGTCACTCCGAAACTGCGGCCACCCGATTGCCGGCAATGGGGAAAAAGTCACGATACGTCACGCGACATCACGTGACATCGCAAGTTTGACATGCCTGCTCTATCTGATTACTAGGTGTTGATGCTGACTTGATGACACATAATGAAAACAGTGATTTTCTACCTTCAGGAAGGACAGAAGCAAGGCTGGCATCACTAAGAACCTCTTAGCTATTAGTGGGAGAGAATGGTGAGGGGGGGGAAATTAGCAGAGATGGAAGCATTTTGTCTTGGGCTGCTGTTGGGAAGGAAGGGAGGGAGGGAGGACCAAGATTCCTGAACTTAGGCTCAAACCTTAAAGTTGACTAGGAAGGCAAAGCTCCATGCTTTCCATTAACTGAAAAAGAGCACAGGGAAACTTGTTTTGTCTGTTGACAAAATGCATTTATGAGATCATTAGCCTGCTTTCCATTAACAGTAACTTGAAACAGAGACTTCCGATAGGAAATGGAAAATTCTCAAATCAAAGCCTGAGACACTGGTAAATAGTACATATGAAGGTTTTCCAAGCAAGGGATTGATTATCATAAAAGACCACCATGATTCCTATACTGGTAGTTCTCGATTTAGATCGGTTCATTTAGTGACCATTCAAAGTTACAATGGCATTGAAAAAAATGATTTATGATAATTTTTCACACGACTATTGCAGTATCCCCATGGCCACGTGATCAAAATTCAGCCACTTGGCAAACTGACTCATTTATGACAGTTGCAGTGTCCTGGGTCATGTGGTCACCTTTTGCGACTTTTGACAGCTAATGTCAGTGGAGAAGCCATATTCACTTAACAACTGTGTTACTAACTTAACAATTGCTGGGATTCACTTAATAACTGTGGCAAGAACTGTTGTAAACTTTCCACTTAGCCACTTAGCAACAGAAATGTTGGGCTCAGTTGTGGTCATAGGTCGAGGACTATAAAGCAATGTTTCTCAAACTTGGCAAGTTTAAGATGGGTGGACTTCATCTCCCAGAATTCTCCAGCCCGCTAAGTTTGAGTAACACTGTTCCAAAGTATTCATATCTGTCTCTTTCTTCCAGGGGCTGTGGTAGGCCACTCTCTACAGACATCTGCTCAAATGCTACTTTTTCCATTGTTTCTATTCGAAGTCGTCTTCTATAGGGCGGTCTCCGTCCAAGGTTACACTGAAAGCTGTAATTCACGCTCACAACTCAGTCAAAAAAAAAAATTGCCTTGCTCGCAACTTGCTTGCAGGCCCCTCCCCTTCCGGACTCCAAGAGGGTAACTGGCGCGGAGATCCGCTTCCGTTGTAAGGTCGATCCCATGCTTGCTTGGTCGGGAAGATCGAAATTGCTGCCTCTCTCCAGGAGAACAGCAGGTAGAGCAGCGGCGGCCGCAGATCGCTATGCTGCGCGAGGGCGAGAGGAGCCTGCTGGTGGCAGAGCTGCTAATGGTGCTGAACAGAGGAGAGGGCAGCAACGGTGTCGGAGACATCTTCTGTTTGTGCACCCGGGCGTTCGTCGAGTGAGTCGGCGCCAGTTGGTCGATTCGTGGCTCTTCTCGATCACCCAGATCTGTGTTTCTCAACTTCCGGATCTTTTAAATATATGAACTTCAACTCGCAGAATTCCCCAGCCAGCTTGCTCGTCCACACATCTTAAAGATGCTGAGGCTGAAAAACACTGGTTTACATGATTTATAGCTGGAGGGGATGCGGGGGCGAGACTGGATTTCGGATTTGAGTCGAGGCTCTTAGTCTTTTTTGCAAGAAAAAGAAAGAATCCTGTGCCAATTCAAAGGCATAAGAGATGATCATGTCACCTCTTAGCGCTTAGGAAGTTAGACATAATATCACCCTCGCGTAGATCTCAATGGAAATTAAGCCCGGAGGCGAGCAGTGTACGCTCGCGTGGGAGTTGATTGTTACAGCCTGATAAGCTTTTTGGAGTGGAGCAAAAGTGAGAGATGGGGCATTTTTCTTCATTTTTTTTGTAAAGATGCATTTTGCAGGGGAAAGTTGCTGTGCCCCTTTAACCAGGGCTTCTTGATACAACACAGTCTAACCAAGTGTGTTTGTATAATAACATGAGCCCAAAGTAAACAAACCACATTATCCATTAATTAAAGAAAGCCACACTATGTTTTAATATGTTATATGACTCATGGAAATGTTATTAGAATAAACTATAGAGCTGCAACTTATATTACTGTACTATTATAAGCATAGAATGGTGCTTTGTAAATAGTCTGGAATATGTCTTCTAATCTGCAGATAGGA